CTCCTCCTCCTCCTCCTCCTCCTCCTCCTCCTCCTCTTGCTCCCAAGTGGGGGTAAATAGAAAAGGGCCCTTCTGGGGCCCTCGGGGGCGCCCTTTGAGACGCCTGCTGGCTCCAAACGAGGCCTTATATAAAAGGGGCCCCGTTGGGGCCCTTCCTCTTCGCCCCCCCGCTGCGCCCCCTCCCATCCGCACCCGCCCGATCACCCGCGCCATGATCGCAACGGCCGCGGCGCGTGCCGCTCTGCTCGGGACTCTTGCTCTTCTGCTCCGCTGGAGGAAGCAGGGACCACCACCACCACCACACGCGCGCTCCCCCACCCCTCTCCTCTAGTGTCCTCCTCCTCCTCCCCCCCCCAATCCTTGGGCTTCTTCGCCACCAACACCACCACCGCCACTACCGCCACACGCCCGCTCCCTCCCCCTCCTGTCCTCCAGTGTCCTTCCCCCCTCACCCCACCGTTCCTTGGTTGTTTTTTTTCCAGGGAGCGCAGGCTGCCCTCCTCCACGCGAGCGACCCCGCCATGCCCCCGCCCGGCGCTCCCGTCCCCCCGCCGCCGGAGCGGAGCCCCCCCCGAGTCCCCCGAGAGCGACTGCGAGTCCGACGACAGCGGCACCGAGGCCGTCCCACCATCCTGTTGCCGTGACCCCTCTGGACGTGGTCCCCCATCCCTCGACGAAGCCTCACGACCTCCGATGCCCTTCGATTCGCGCTCGAGCCTCCACGGCCTGTCCCAAATGTATACGAACGTAGCTGGGCCTGCCCCGGCATGTCTGAATTTACATCGGCCTACCTACCTACACACACACACACACGCAGCCTCGAACTATTTGGTCTGACCCCCGCAGGTCCATTGGAGAAGAGTCGTCAAGCCCAAAGAGAATCCCACCTGCCCCCCCCTCACACACACACAGGCACACACACACACACACCACCCTCACCTCCTTTTCCTCCTCCTCCTCCTCCGAGTCCTTCTCTTCGTCCTTCTCCTTATCCTTCTCCTCGTCCTCCTCCTCCTCCTCGTCCTCCTCTCCCCCTTTCCGCTCACTGTGGCACTCGCCGCCCTGGTGTATGCAGTCTTGGCCACAGCGCGCCTGGGGAGGCGGCCGCTCGAGCCAGAACGGCGCGCCGCGCCGGCGTGCAAGATGTGGCGAAAACGCAGCGCGGAAATGCGCAACAACGACGGCGCCACGACGCTGATGCCAGCAGGAGTGTTGCAGAAGAGGGAAAAAGAGGAGAAAAGCTCCTCCCTCCCTCCTGCCTCCGCACCCCTACTCCTCCTGCTATTATTCCTCCTCTTTTTCCTCCTCCTCCTGCACCTCCTCCTCTTCCTCCTCCTCCTCCTCCTCTCCTCCTCCACCTCGTCCTCGTCCTCCTCCTCCTCCTCCTCCTCCTCCTCCCTCCTCCTCTCCTCTCCTCTCCTCTTCCTCCTCTCCTCCTCCTCCTCCTCCCTCCTCCTCCTCCTCTCCTCCTCCCTCCCCTCCCTCCCTCCTCTCCTCCTCCTCCTCCCTCCTCCTCCTCCTCCTCCTCCTCCTCCTCCTCCTCTTCCTTGTTTCGGCTACACTGCTGGCTCCCAGGATCGGGCATGGCGAAAAGAGCGGGAGCGGGATCCCAGTCTCAACGGTTGCCAGGCCAGGCATCCGGGCCAAAAGGCTGCCTCTTGCCTCCAGCCTTCTTCTGGCACTGGTCAGTCGTCACGCCTGGATGGTCGGACCGATGGTCGTCACTCGCCATTTCCTGGGTCCGGTGGTCGGACCTGCCCCCCCTCCCCAGCGGCCTGCGCCGCTGGCGAGGGGGGACGGAAAGAAAACTGATGTCGATCGGGGAAGCGAGGGGGGAGCAGGGAGGAGGAGGAAGAGGAAGAGGAGGAGGAGGAGGAGGAGGAGGAGGAGGAGGAAAAAAAAAAAAAGGAGGAAGAGGAGGAGGAGGAGGAACAGGAGAAGGAGGCGGAGAAGGAGGAGGAACAGGAGGAAAAGGCGGAGGGGGAGGAGGAGGAGGAGGAGGAGGAGCAGGAGCAGGAGGAGGAGGAGGAGGAGAAGTTCTGAGACCACTGCAATCGGTGACTCCTCAGTTCATGTCTACACTCAGGACCTCGCCGGTACTGAAAGACCTGGAAATGAGAGATCGACCTGGTCTTGTTGTCCCCACGCACCGTGGTTCTCCCCAGCGTCGCAATCCGCGCCAGGGAGGCCAACCAACTGCCCGGGCGCGGGCAGCCAACCTCGCTGAGACCCGAGCAAGCACTTACGCAACTTCCAGGGGGTAACCAACGACCATGCGCCAGCGACTTGCTAACGCGCAATCCTTGCTGCCGAGCACCACCTAGTGACTTCCCGGCGGCGAGGGTCTCGAATTCGAATGCGGGGGCCCAGGTGCGTCGCGCCATCCCTGATAGTTCCCTGGGTGCCCGAGACTCCATTTCGGATTGCCTGTCGAGCCCGAGTCCCTGGGAGGCGAAGTACGCCGAAAACTCTTGCTACCCGTGGCTCTGGACGTACCCGAGCGGCTTCATTGCGGAATCGCTGGGCTCTCCCGTCGCCTGGACCTTCCCGACAAGGTCCCGAAAGGTCATGCCACTCGAGGCCACGACGGTTTCTTCGCATCCTCAGCGTACCTCAACAAACTCAATCACTCTGGACCTCAAGCCATTCCAAGCCATTCCAAAACGAGGAAGCGCGACATCGGGTCGACGCGACTCCGCTGTTTGGCCCACTGCAGAGTAGCCCGAGAAAACGCACCTAAGAATCGGCCGCGGTAACAGGGACACCCCACGACGCCACCTTGGAACGACTTAGCAAGGTGGGGGCAGACCCCAAAGTTCGTTCAACCATGCCGTTCGCGTGGCACTGTCTGCAAAGGGTGCGATTCGCCCCCGAAGTGGAATGGGCAGCAGTGATCTCTAAGTCTGGCCAGTCGTAAATCCCGCAGGCGTTGCCCATGTGCTTAAGGCCCATTACATAGGAACGCCGCGCACGACACTATCGCCAGCAGTTCACCTGAGCTCGACAAAATTTGCACGCACAAACACACACACACACACACACACACACCACGCCACCGATGCGAAATTGTTCATGGTCTGGCTGAGAGGGCCCTATGTTCAACAGTCGCGAACAGAAAGCTTGTCCCAAGAACAAGCAAAACATGCACATCTCGTTTTTCTCTGGGTCCGCGCCCCGCGGCTCCGATGCCAACGTGACGGGATTATAGTGCACTTCCTGTTTTTTGCGAGGCCCGCCAAGATGATCCACCATAACCCAGGAACTTTCGGCATAGAGACATCATATCCCCCCCTTGCTGCTGAGCCCTCGGGTTCGGGAAAAATAGCGGATGCCAAAGTTCTTGTGGTGCACTACCTTCCGAAGCCGCTCCACGTCGAGGTGCGCTCTCGATGCGGGGCGCCGCCGCTGTGAGAACCGCCGTCGGCTGAGCTCCCGACGGGGCCATGAAACGCACGAGGCGCGCGGGGCCTTCGGCGGAGCCCCCCATGGGGCCGCGAAGCGCACGAGGGGCGCGCCGAAGTGGAAGGGGGGGCGGCATGCGAACCATGCCACTGGGGCCTCAAGCGGTGCCCCCTACAAGGCCGCGGAGCGCGCGGGGGTTGTGCCGCAGCGGAAAGAGGGAGGGCGGCACGCGAACGCAGCCGCTGGGGCCTTCGGCGGAGCTCCCCGCGGGGCCGCGAAACGTGCGAGGGGCGCGCCGAAGTGGAGGGGGGGCGGCATGCGGGCCTTCGGTGGAGCCCCCTTTATGGGGCCGTCAAACGAGCGAGGGGCGCGCCGAAGTGGAGGGGGGGCAGCGCGCGAATAAAGCCGCCGGGGCCTTCGATGGAGCTCCCCGCGGGGGCGCAAAACGTGCAAGGAGCGCGCCGCAGCGAGGGGATGGCGGGAGAGGGGGGGGAGGGGGGCGGGGGGGAGAGGAAGGGGGGGGGAGGTGCGGGGACTCTCTTCCAGAAAATGCAAAAAAAGACACTGATTGTCCTTAGGATTTTGAAGGATTCTGACATTTGCTTCTTTTCGGCCTTCCGACGGCCCGAGGCGGCCCAAGAGCCCCCAAAGATCGCCCCAACATCGTCCAAGAGGCCTCCAAGATGGCCCCAGAACGGCCCAAGAGGCCCCCAAGACGGCCCCAAGAGGCGGCCAAGACTGCCCAGGAGGCTTTTAAGACGCCCAAGATGGCCTCCAATACGGCCCTGGAGCATTCCAAGAGGGCCCCAAGTCGGCTCAGAGAGGCCCCCCAAACGGCTTCCGACGGCGTCGGACGGGCCAGGGGCCCACCAAGACGGCCGAAGATGGCACTAAGATGGCCCAAGACGGCCCAAGAGGCCTCCAAGAGGGCCACCAGGAAGGCCCGAAAAATGCCAAAATCATGGATTCCCCCCTGAGTTTTTGAAGGATTGTGGCATTTGCATTTTTCTGGCCTTCCGACGGCCCGAGACGGCCCAAGTGAAAGATCGCCCACGAGGCCCAAGACGGCCCCAAGAGGTCCCCAAGACGGCCCAAGAGGCCTCCAAGACGCTCAAGATGGCCTCCTAGACGGCCCAAGAGCCCTCCAAGACGTCCTCAAAGAAGGCCCGAAAGGGTCAAATGGCCTTCAGGCGGCCAAGATGACCTTCAAGATGCCCACGTGTTCCCCGAAGGCTTTTCAAACCGATTCGGGGAACACATTGTCCGATAGCTTGGCAGGTATGGCCTCAACGTTCGGCCACATAGGCGCTTCCAAATAGGCAGGGGGTGGCGGTGATTCGCCGTAGGCGTCTTCGAAATAGAAAGAGAGAAAGGAAAGAGAAAGAGAGAGAGAGAGAAAGCGATAGAGAGAAGAGGCGTGTTCAAGTCAGCGTGCACGCTGAACCTAACACGCGTCGGTCTCGAACCTTCATGCGAGCACCGCGTCGGCGCGGAACCGCATCGGCGGAAGAGGGCGCCCCTGCCCCCGCCCTCCCCCACCGGACGGCGCCTGCGCCCGCGGCGTCGGCGCCGCGGACGGCGCGGGCCTCGGCGTCTTGCGGGGCGCGCTGGGGGGTGGGGGGGACGGGGGGGACGGACGGGCAGGCACGGCAATCAGTTTTGGGACGCAGGGTGACACACTAGTACTACAGTCATCGGCCTGACCTAAGGAACGATAAATAAGGAACGAAGCCCCTTTCTTCCAAGGAATAACGCATAGGGAACGATGAACAAATAATACATAACGCATAGGGAACGATAAATAACGCATGCAAGCCTAAGGAACGACCGAGCCCCTTTTGAAAAGTAGGCGTTCCTGATTCAAGCCGCTCACTGTACGTGTCCTCTTTGGAGGCGTGCGTCCGAACCGAACACGGAGTACAGACATCTTACCTACACGACCACCCTGCGGGTGATAAGGAGGATGCGGGGGGGGGCAACTGGTGGCAACTGCGACGATTGTGATGGTGACGACCTCACCTTCGATATCACCATCGAACTCACTATCTACCGACCTCACCGTCGATCTCACTTTCGATATCACAAATCGACTTCCCTACCCATCTCATTACCGATCTCACT